CCAAGAATTGTAATCAGCACCAACTCTAGCGTTAAAGTCTCCAAGAATGAACAGTGCCTCTATTTCAGGGACTTTTTTGATAGCTGCCAGATCGTCATAGAATTTGTCTTTCACTTCTGTAATGGATGACAGTGTTGGTACATATGCACTAATGAGAGCGACCGGTCCCACTGATGAGTGGAGCTACAGAGAAAGGATTCTTTCACTCCCCACAGTAGGTGGAAAATGGATCTCAGAAGAGTATTTCTGACTACAAAGCCAACACCACATTCCCTGGTTTCATTCAATGGTTTTCCCTGCCAGAAGAATGAGAAGTTTTTTTCTTTGACAAATCCCAAGTCTGGCAATCTCGTCTCTTGCAGGGCAACAATGTCCATCTGCAGTCTACTCAGTTCCATGTCGATGACAGCTGTCTTGCGCACATCGTCTATTTCCTGCAGGTCATCAGAAAAGGTGTAGTCAGAAAAGCCAGGGGTCATTGTCCGTACATTCCAGGTGCCCAGCTTTAGGGCAGAAGTTTTCTTACAGTTGTTGCATGGTGCAGGGTTATCAATCTACTTGTTGGCTTTCACCCTAAACCACACGCACCCCATGAAGTTAACAGACCGAGGTAGCACCTTACTGGCTGGGGGCTGCCCAGCTTAAGGTGGGTGGTATCTACCTAGTGAGGTGCAATGACCTCTCCCACTGTCAGAAGTAGCCCCTGGTATCATGCTCTTTCTATGCCAATCGAGCAAAGACTTATAACCGGTAACTGCTACTTCCAAGCAGCAAATCTCCACATCGCTGAAATAGTCCAATGGAAAGGCAAGAGCTGATACAACTGGTTCCGGCAATATCGCAGGAGTTGCCAGAACAACACAAACTGCCTCCAGGACTCCAGCTCCGAATTTTGCCTCTAAGTTAACTCCTGAATCCTTTTCCATCATTGGATATAGCCACAAGGCAGTGGAGGTTTGAATTCGGAGTTTTCCTTCTCCTAGACAACTGACTTCTGACAACTTACATTTTAAATATATAATCAGGTCTTATGCTTTTAAAATGTTGGCTATCTTTTAAGAATCAATTTCCTACTTGTATGCATAACAGAGGAAGAGGTAAACTATTTGCTGGTTCATATGACTGAAATCTGTCAGTAGTTTTAATGTTTATGGGCTCCATTTGGTAGAAGCTGCTTTTGCCGATGCAAGTCAGTGAGGATGATGTACCTCCCAACCCTCCTGCAGTTGTATGGGCTGACACACTTCCAGAGCAATTGTTTGTTTGTTTATTTATTTATTTATTTATTTATTTATTTATTTATTTATTTATTTATTTATTTATTTATTTATTTATTTTGTCACTTCAGAGCAATGGTGGAAATAGACAAAAAAATCTGATACTACTTGAATTAACACCTCTGTGTGATAGCTACAGTAGTTTTCTGTTTACTGTACATTTGAGACTGTACTGGAGTCATATTAGGTGTGCATGTAATGTGATAGCAAGATACTAGTACTATAACCCAAATAAAGAATTGAATTAACATCAGATTCAAGTGTGCTAAGTTTCTAGACACTGCAGAACAAGCGTGTAGAGTACATCACACATCTCTTCTAAATAGTTAAGAAGTAAGGGAGAATATTTTACAAACTGTAATAGGTAAATAGTTATTATCAAGAGAGCAGTTTTTATAGTGCATGTAGCTAGACATGTTTACAGAGTCTACAGCCAAATAATTTGTTTTTGTTTTAAGAGCAAAGGATTATTATGATTATATGCTTCTGAAACTACTAGGTTACACAAGGTGGTGCTCAGTATCTTTCTCATGACTTTGAACCACTGTGATCAGTAGCTACAGTTGAGTTTGGTTATTGGAAAATTATGTTGGCAGATCTCTCTGCTATGAATTTCATTACTTAGTCTTTGGAAAGGCACTGTAAATGCATAACCTACCTTAGAGCTGTGAGGATAATCCTCTATTCCGAACCCTTGAAGGAAAACTAGGTTACAAATTAGATGAATAATGTGATTTTTATTTGTTGATCTATGCATTTGTTTCCAATGTTGATAGTAATATGCTTATGAAACAAACTTGTGCATCCATTTGATTTTCGAAGCAAGCAGTGTTTGTATTTTTTTTTAGGAAGGATTTCCATGATTTACATTACCAGTGTTTGCTGTGAACTAATATTTTGTCCAAAGCATAGGATCAGTAACTGTGAATGACCCCAAATGGTAAGTACTGTTGCTTTTTAGTAGCTTTACATTATAGAAATACAGGACAAACTTTTTGTCCATCTGATAATTAATAAAGGATCCACTGGTAGTCTTTATTAGTTATGATGATCTTTTAAGCACCTTTTTATTTATTTCTTGATGAAGAGATTATCATGATAGCCTTGCAAATATTCTATGGATAGATAATTGTACTGTATTAAATTAACTTATTGTGCTGAGAAAACCTGTCATACGAACTAGTTGCAAGTATATAATACTTGAGACCTGAAAAAACACCAAAATTGCTGTTTTTTGGAGCACAGATCTCTGGTCATACAGCATATTAAAATGATCTTGACAGCACTAACATAATTGCTACCCTCAGTCTTGTTTTTCTTTACAGCAGATGGCAGTAGAATAGAAATAAAGGTTATTGCATCTAGATGATAGCCTGAGTTCTGCATTCAAATGTAACAAATTCCACAGCTTAAAAGGAATCCATTAGTTGACAGTAAATACAGTGATAGTGTAGTTTTAGAAGAGGTACCTGTGTTAGTCTGTGCAAGCATATTAGGCAAAAAAGTGGTAGTGTAAGTGATTTAATGCTAAATTCTATACTACAAAATATGCACACACTTTAAGATAGTCTTCACATAGGAAAGCTTGCGTTCTAATCACAGATAGTAATATTAGAAAATGTTCATAAGGAAATGTTCATTGAGGAAATGTTCACAATTTGTGATTTCAGATGTACTCAATATTAGCATCCGGAGGGCATTAGTATTTTGAATTCTGAACATATTAACAGGCATGTGTTGATATCATCTCTCTCTCTAGGTGCTCTCTCTGTTACTTAAGCATATCTCCACCTATCTACTTGTGGATTAATTGTTCTTCATTAATAATATTATCCCTACTTATCGCTATTGATTTGGGGGTTTGGATTTTTTTAAAAACAAGGACAGTCCCATGTTATTTTCTTCTATGATCAGATCAAACACCTTTTGATTGTGATACCAGAGTGCTTAGGTGTTTATTCAAGTATGATGTTACAGACCTGTTATAGATGTATTTTTCAGACAGAAAATATTATTCATTGATAAATCCAAATGATTTATTGTATTAGACTGAAATTTAACAGAGAAATTCTAAATGGTGAGGTTTATAGCAGTAGAATTTCAGATAACTTTATTGAAGATTGAGTTATAGTTTGAAGATACTGCTTTGAGTGAATGTTCCTACTGTGCCCCTTGGGAGAAGAGCCAACATAGTTTTGGGCAATCTGCAAAGTCTCAGAGTACCACCAGAAGAAGGGGCTGGTAAACCACTTTTGAGTACTTTATATCTAGAAACTCTGGCAGAGGATCTCTATAAGTCAGAATCCACTTGACAACACATATTAATAATATGAGAAACTATAAACATGTAAATAGTAGTAATTGTGTGCTGTCTAATCAGTTCTGACTCTTTAAACTGTGGAATCTGCTACGTTTGAATGCCGAACTCGGTTTCCCATTCGCTTCTTTTGGGTGCACCAGAAGACTATGCGGCTTGCTCAAGGCCAGGCTCTTGCCCAGGCTCTTTGGGGATGCACAGTAGGGAACTGAACTCCCAACCTCTGGCTCTGCAGCCAGAAACCAAATTCATTGAGCTATACAGCCAACCTAAAACATATATACAGCCTTCATATAATGAAATGTAAGTAAATATCATACGATTTCAATGCTTATTGGTGCAAGAATAAATTTTAGGCTCCTCAGTTGATTGAACTGAAAGATACGTATTTTGATCTTAAAATTCTGGATACTAACCAAGTGAAATAAGGCAATATGTTAATAGCAATTAACACCCCATGGCCTGCTCTACAAACTGCTGCTAATATCTGATCCCAGGTAATCCGTTTCTAAGTACGGTATGCTGTATACAGCTACAAATTGTTCAGCATGACTTGCACATACTTTGCACGAATGCTGCTGTTTCAATATGCTTTTTCTGTTTAACCATTTGGGATTTATTTTATTAGTTGGAGCCAATTTCTATGTAGAAACTTGTTTTTATGAAGTGTGGATAATCTTCGACGAAGGCTCCTTATCTTTGAAAACCATCATGCATACTGTACATTGTTTTTTCATAGATGTTATTTATATGAAGAATTTCACTGTGGCAGATTGGACCTGTTTAGACAATTCTTTGCCCCCAGGATTCCACCATTGTCTGAACAGGCTGAATGTGAACTGGATTCTTTCTTGATTTTGGCTTTTCCTCATTATGAAAGATAGCATTTCATTTGTGAAGTATATCATTAAATAATGACAGGTTCAAATTGTTAACATGAGGTAGTTAAATTATCACAGAACTAGCTAAGATGCAAAGAGACATTACATAAGTTATATGTTAAATTTATAAGAGCTATTCATGATTAATATTTCCCTTAACCTTTATGGATGACAAGTAGGATGGAATGAAAGAATGTTCTGGTGGGGATCATGACAACAGGATCTTCCCCCAACTGTGCCAACCTATGTAAGAGTCTGCAGTCTATCCAGAAGGATGTTGAAATGAATATCTAAGTTGTATAGGACTTGCCCACATGATTACTGCCCCCCTGAAAATTTTATGAAAAAGGCTTCTGTTTGAAGTATATCAGTCCAATTTTAAATGAATATTGATGCTGGACTACATTTTATTTGTACTATTATTTTATACTAGTAAAAAGCTTTGAAATTGGTATATAAATATTTAAGTATTTCTTCTGTTCAAAGTAAATTGTACTTGTACAATGACCAAGAACAATTTCTTTTAAGTAAATTTTAATTTGCTCTACACAAAATAAGAAATAAATTTTTATTCCTTTAATGATGCTTTTGGCAGTTTAATAGATGGGTTTTATTAAACATTTTACATTATATTACATGTATATTCTATCTTTTCACTGAAAAACAGCATTTAAAGCAGCTTCGTAAGACCAACCTCACTGTAAAAAAACCCCACTAAAATCTAGTAAATACATAAAACCAACTAAAATCAACAGGGGATTCAGTTACGAGGCAATATGTTATATAATTCATGTTATAGTTGCAGTGAATGCAGTGTCCTAAACCAATAAGTAAGCGAACATCTTCTGTTATCAAGAATGTATGTTTTGATTGGAAATTTTACAAAGAGAAGGTGGCCTCTCAGTAGGACAGCATGTGGTTGACATCATGCTGGCATCATGCTGACCTTGTTCCAAAAGAATTTCTCAAGGGTCTAGTGAACATAGCAAAATCATGCTGTGTTTATAGACCTTCTGACTTGGGATAGAGATATGAGGAAAATTTGGACTTCTTGCTTTTAAATATGCAGTATGCTCACATGATCCTGCAAAGTCTGTCTCAGCATTGTTATTTTTCTAAGCTTGTTTCCAATTCTGAAAGTTAGGGCAAATGCAAACTGTGTGCTATACCACATGGCTTTTTGAAGTGTGCATTTAAGAAAATAACACATTCATTAGTTACTAGCATTATCTGATAGAGTTGTCTGCAGTTACGTACATTTGTTCTATTTACTCTGAGCCTGTAATACTTTACCTTGAGGAAAGATGTTGTTATTCTGATCTAACCTTTAGATAAGAATTAGTTTGTATTTTATGTGCTATAGTGTTACTTTACAGAGTTTCTTTTTTTGTCTAATATTTATAGATCATAAGTGCACCCCAAAGACTGACTAGTTCAGGGAATGTTCTTTTTGGGAGTCAGTACACCACAGCACCAGCCATGGTCACACAGACACATGTAACAGAAGCCACTGCTTGGATCTCAGGGTAAATACACTACAGTATTTGGTTTCCCTCAGCCTTGCTTGTTCATTTCAAGTTTGATAGTTTCCCTGCAACTCAGCAATTCATCTTATCAGTGCCTTGCACACCTTAAGACTTTTGTGAGCATACACGGTGCTACTTGACTATAGTTAAAGTTCATTAGATTGCATAAGATGATGCACAATATGAATAGTTTCATAATTATAGAATGTTTAAAAGTCAGATCATTGACCAGAATCCTGTTTACCGCTTTTGCTCACATAAGAGAAATTGTGTCCGTCATAGTGACAGATTGCCACTCATTAATGAGGTGCTAGTTGTGTTCATGAGCCAGCACTTTGTTAATCAGTGACTGTTTCCCACCAAAACTTACACGCTTTTCCTTATTGCAAGACTGAATGGCCAGTAGGATTCTGGGCATTTGATTATACTAATAAACAACATACAAGGCTTGATCTAGATTTTTTATTGCACTGTATTTGTATAATGAGGTAATTCTCTTTCTCATGCATTCCTATATACACATCCAAGAAATATACAAGTGATGTAATTGTGACAAAGGAGATGGGATGATAAAGAATTTGTAGGACAGACAAGAAGTGAAGGAGAAACAACAAAAACAGATTTAAAATAAGTTTGATTGAGCACTGGGGTAGTGTCTCTGTGTCTGGAAAGATGCTACTTCGTACTAAAATCAGTCTGAAATAGACAAGCAAATTCTGCATAAGGAGGCCAGTATATAATCCAATGGAATTGGTAGAATTGGGAGAAAAAATTAAGAGAGAAAAACTTAAGAATCAGGAAGGAGGCCACATCACAAAACATGACAAAGGCCTTTCAAATGCTCTATCATATCACTCTTGAAAACAATTCTCAAAAGCACAGAAAATAATCTGCAACACGTTTTATAAAACCGACAATCTCACCCTCATAGCACAGTAAGTGAAGCACATCCAGTATAAAGTGTTCCTAAAATAGAAGAGGGACCTGTCAGTTACTGTGCACCTTTCACCTTTAAAGTGTATGCTAAGAAAAACAGTTTTCAAACATACTATAAGCATTTCTACCACTCTGAAATAATAATTAGATGTGAAGCTTCATGATGACTCAGATTCAGTTCTGGTTCTCATTCATTTCTAATCAATTTGAGGAGGCAGAATTTCTAGCTCAGATAAATTCAGACAAAGTTGATGCACATCCTCATCAATGAAAATGGAAAAGTTGTAATGTGTGGCATTTCATGTTACCTTAGCGAACAGTAAAATGGTCTGCTGTTGTACACAATGTTGGTCTATTTAAAGTGTTTTGAGTTGCAAAAACCTTGTGTTCCCATCGTAGAATTTCTGAACAATTTCAAAGTGTTCCAGTTTAAAACATTTTAAACGTACAGATTTCATGCTGATCAGAATCTCAAAGTTAAGCAATGGGCTTTAGCATTAGTATTAACTCTGCTAGTGATGATTCTTTGTTGCCTTATTTTGTGCCTAGAAGACTGTAAAATGGTTTACAGAAATAGTGAAATACTTTTATTTTTTGTTATTGCAGATTTAGTTGTCAGGGCTTCATTTGATTTCTGTTGCCATAGCTTCACAAAATCTATTGAACTGCATTTAGTTACCAGTCAAATAATATAGATGTTACTTTAAAAAATCTTGCTATTATGCAGGTGCTCATTCATTATCCCTCAGTTTATCCTCTTTTCTCCAGGCAAGTGGCAGGATCAGTTGCTGATTGCCTCAGCCAAGGGGAGGAGTTCTTAAATGCCTGTAGATTTTTCCTTCTTGTGGCATGGAAGTGAGGTTTCGAATTCTCCAGTAGTTGATTGAGAGCTGTCCAACCTGGAAGTCTCATCTTCCAGCACTATTTCTTGTTGCATTTTGGATTGTCACTTCACAGAATTTTTAAAACACAATATAGTCAAAGTGCTTTGCTACTGTCATGTTCTGGATTTCCAAGTTGACAAATATTGAAAGTAGTTTACCATTATCTTGTGCAGTAGTCTATATTTTGTTAAAATATTTTACTTATTTATTTAAAATATTTCTATGCCACCTTTCTCCCCAAAAAGGACCCAAGGCAGCTTGCATCACTAAAACAGTATTTAAAAGCTAAAACAGTAAGTATACAAATATTAAGAAAGGACTAAATAAGTACAATATTAAAATGGTAATTAATATCAGTATCAAAACACATTTAAAACAACATAGCACAACAGTCCATTTTAAACCCCTCTCAGAGCACCAGTCATTAAGGAAAAGCCTGCCTGAAGAGAAAGATCTTTGCTGGCCTGTAGAAGGACAGCAAAGATCAGGCCAGCCTAGCTTCCCTTGGGAGGGAGTTCCAGAGTCTGGGAGTGGTAACAGAGAAGGCCGTCTCCCATGTCCCCACCAAGTGCACCTGTGAGGATGGTGGGACTGAGAGAAAGGCCTCCCCTGATTATCTTAATGCCCGGGCAGGCCCCCACTTTGGGCACCTTTAAAAGACAACTAAAAACATGGCTATATATTCAGGCCTTCCCTCCAGCTAACACTTGATTTTCTCTTGTTCTCATTTATTTTAGTTCTGTTTTTGTATTGTGTATGTTATAGTGATGATTTATGTAACTCTTTGTATTATTTTACTGTTTGTTTTCACTGGAAGCTGCCTAGAGTGGCCTTTTAGGCCAGATGGGTGGGGTATAAATAAAATAAATAAAATAAATAAAAATAAAGGGAAATGCTATATTTTAGCCTGCGCAAGAACACCACACCCACCCGCAAACATGCCACACCCACCAACAACCACAGGGGGTGCCCCCGGCCCCCCTGTGCACAGACAACCCCCAACCGGTCCGCGGTTCGAAAAAGGTTGGGGACCACTGTTTTAGATAGCTTGGATCCAAGCTGTTTAGGGTTTTGTAGGTTATAACCAGCACTTTGAATTCTGTCCAGAAATGGATTGGCACCCAGAGGAGCTTTTGTAACGGATTATATTTTAACACAACACAACAAATAAAAACAGACCTGGGGGTCAAGTGTCCAAGATCTAATGATGTCCTTCATATGAGCCTCACTGTTTCTATTGGAATCTGCTATTATGCCTCTCTCCTACAGCTCCCTTCCTCTTATGCACCCTATAAACTTTCTCCAGATGTCTGACAAAGCTGATGGAACACAGTTTTTACATGGACAGGTGCAGGCAGAAGAGAAGAAAATCCAAATTCTTCTGAGTTATTTTAATGTCAGAATACACCAGTGGATTGTGGCCTCTGCACATAATAGTATCAGTGGATTTAGCCTAAATAAATGGTGTCTATGTATCCATATATTCAATTCTGTGCCTATGCAGAGTCACTGTTCAAAACTTCCTAGATGAAACTATCTAGAGTGTATACATAAGTGAGCTCCTCCTGAGTTCTGCTCCATCTACCATAGTGGCTACAACTAATAGGATACCTGTATTTTTCAGCTTAAATCTTTCTTCCTGGGAAAAGCTATTTTAGCCACAGAGTCCCCTGTTAAAATGTCCTGCATTAGTAAATCACCAGAAACCCTCAAAATTATTGTGGCATCAGTAGTGCTTTAAACCCTAGTTGATATGACAGCTTTGGTACTGACTCAACAGATGACCAGTTTGTCAACACTAATTTACCTGGTGTTGGCTCAGAAATCATGGTAGGAAAAGAACTGTCAAAAAGAAGGTGAAAAATATCATGTCAGTTGCTGCTGATATTGAAGAACTGCCTGTATTGCTAGTCCATTTTACCATTAAAAATCTTGCAGGCTAGATCCTAAACCTTTAACTCTGCCACATAGTTATCCCTCTTGATACCCAACTACTTGGGTCTGTAGCAAAGATTGAGATTTGTGAAGAGTCTGTTCTAGCTGAGCTGAATGAGTCATGCCCGAGCAAGCTCTATCAGACCAGCTATGCCACACATCAGACACACCTGCTACAAAATCTCCAGAGGAGAAATCGGCTTCATCCTATTACCAAACCAGAACCTCTGAAGAGCATATTATGACAACTCTCAATACCATGACTATCAGTCCTAATTGCACTACTATTTCAATACCACTGAAGAGTATTCACCATCTTCTCATTGATACATCTGTCTCCATGTTGGTTTGTGCTGTTACTTTGTCAGTTCACATCAAATCTTCCATTTTAGTTCTGCTTCTTGGTATTCAAGAAATCCCAGTACCACTATTAGAATATTATATGGGGCTTGATGTTCCCTTCCTGCCTTTTTGAAAGCAATAAAGACATCATTGCATAAGTGCTCTTCCATTACTATTGGTTTTCATCTAGAAATTATTTGCAAGTTCTTGGACTTGGATAAGGGCTTTCTGTTAAAACACCTGACGCCTAATTCCATTACCATCACTTCTACTGGGAAAAATCCTCCTCTGCCCGATAACAAAGATGGATATTAGAATCTTCTGGGCCACAAAACCAATTTAGGAGCTATGTTGGGACATTGCAAACCAACAGGCCTACCTCGTATGCTGCCAAACTTTCCTGTGAGTTAAATTGGCTAGCTTGATGGAGTGACTGTCCAATGGCAAGAGGGGGACTGCAGCTTTCTTTTCCAAAGAACCTGGTTCTGTCTGCTGTCAGCAAATCAGCTCAGCAAAACACAGTGCAGGATGCTTGTTGAAGACACTGGAGGCTGTCATTACCTCAAGGCTTCACTCCACAACACTGCAGGAGCTGACTGCTCAAAGACTGAAGACCTGTCTTCTAATGGCTTCAGTCTTTTTTTTCCTGAAAGGAGAGATGAAAAATGAGACACAGATAATAAGTTGCCCAGTACAGCCTAGTTCCATTCTCCACCCAGTGTCATCAACTGGCAGACATCATTTAATTATTTTTGATATCAGTTGTTAGCATTGTTGTCACACTCACTCTTAAACTGATACATTCCGTTCAGCCTGGAAACAAGACTTCAACAGGACTGCAGTTGAATGGGAACAGGTCAAAGATGATGCTTTCCTGCTCATCTGGAAAGGAGAGCACCTTTACATGTTTCAATCCTTCTCGCTACTCACAAGGGACATCTTCAAATGCCACTGGGTTTGACCAGACAGCATTCTTATAGTCTTAGGGTGCCTACATAATTATTGTCCTCTTGAACCTATGGCATAGAGACTGTTTTGTCAGATGCCTCTCTGAGCTGATGTCATCTCCAGAAAATGGTGATTGTTCTTCATCCTGATGTCTCCACACTCAGATTGACAGCATGCCAGATCCACTCCTAGATAGAGTAATTCAAGTTACTCAAACTGTGAGAAAACCATATGTATAATACTCCCAGAACTATAAAATGGGAGATATTTTCTATTGTCCCTGTTGGTAAAGGGTCATCATTTTCATTTGTTAAGGTTTATCCAGCTGCAGTATCACCTACCTGAATCTATGTTCCACACAAGGTGCTACCAGAGTTGAAAAAGTTCGCTTTCATGGTACCAACACACCAATATATAATCCCTGCACTATTAATCTCTTGCTGGAGGTTCCCCTTAATTCTTGTGAAATTCATGGAGCTGCCCTTGAATTGCTAGTTTCTATCCCTTTGGATTTGCTAACAGCCAAATTAGCTTTTATTGTTGCTATCACTACAGAACTTTGTTTCTGGTGGATTAACCATACTTACTTTGGTACCTAGACAAAGACATGTTTTGGCCTATCATTACTACGGAAGGTCATTCAACCTTTCACCTGTTATAAGACATTGTTCTCCTTGCCTGCTTTCCCTTAGGTACAACAGATGGCAAAAGGCCATTTCCATATTACAAATATTTGTTTTGTAAATCTCTGTGGTTCTTTTTGGTTCATTCTGGCCCTAAGAAGGGACTGCCAGTCTCCTTACAGTGAAGCACTGTAAAGAGACAGTGAATTGTGAAGACAGTCATGCTTGCATGTCAGCTGGCTGAGACTATTGTCAGCTGCTGTACAGAGCCATTCCACCGGGATAGTGTTCACTTATACTGCATTTCCTGCAGGGAGTTCTTATACCCGAAATGTGTCATGCAGCAGCTTGGTCCCAATCTTCATTCAGCATTACTGAGTTGACATCAGAACTCAGAGGGATGCTTATTTGGTAGAACTATTACAGTGGTGCCCCGCATAGCGATGTTAATCCATTCCAGATTAATCGGTGCTATGCAGAAACATCGCTAAACAGAACAGAAAAAGCCATATGGCTCTTATGGCTCCCAAACTCACCATTCAGCGAAGTTCCTCCATAGCGTCGCCATTTTCGCGCCCTCGTTAAGCGAGGGCAGGGCGCGAAAACACTTGCAGTGGCCATTTTGGGCACCCAGCAGCCATTTTGGAACCGCCTATCGCTGAACGGTGAGGTTGGGGAGCCATAAGACCCATATGGCTTTTTCTGTTCCGTTTGCCTGTTCAGAACATCACAATGCGATCGCATCAGCGATCTAAAAAAATTGATCGCTATGCGGATTCATCGTTAAACAGTGCACTCGTTAAGCGAGGCACCACTGTATTTCTGTATTGCTCCCAAGGAGTGCAAGTTTCTACCTGCCTGCCCTCTGGAAGCCTTTACAGGTGAGCTTATTAGACTTCACTCATATGTATAGATGCACCAAGACTATGAAGAAAAAAAACAGGTCTCCTACCTGTAAAGATTGTTCTTCAAGTGGCCATATGTGTTTTTACACAACAAAACCACCTTCCCCTCTTCAGAACTTTAGGTAACTGATACCCTGCTGCTGTGTCATCAAAATGTTTGAACTGAGGGGCAACCCATAAACTCATCCACTGTAAATAGGAGAAGCAGAGCCATTGCTAAAACTGTCTTTATCTAGAAGGTTCTGAACAGTGAGGTCTGAGTAGGCACACAGACCCAAATGGACACATGCACCAATGACCACTTGAAGAACTAATGTTAAGAGGTAAGCAGTCTGTTTATAATAAGAGAGAACTGGAGCTGCTGATCAGTATAAAGCAGTGATCCCCAACCTTGGGCCTCCAGGTGTTCTTGGACTACAACTCCCAGGAAGCCTTCACCACCACTTCTGCTGGCCAAGATTTCTGGGAGTTGAAGTTGAAGAACATCCGGAGGCCCAAGGTTGGGGACCACTGGTATAAAGGATAATAGGACATTGCTATGTAAACTGTTAATGAAGGGTCCAGTTTCTGCAGGCTGATTATGTGGACAGGATCCTTGGAGAGGTGAGGGCTACCCCATGCCTGCTGGATCCTTGCCCTTCCTGGCTTTTAAAAGCAGCCAGAAAGGGAATGGTTGATTGGATAGGATGAGTAGTGAATGCCTCCTTACCACAGGGTTTTTTGTTAAGTCATTTAGTCGTGTCTGACTCTTTGTGACCCCATGGACCAGAGCACGCCAGGCCCTCCTGTCTTCCACTGCCTCCCAGAGTTGCATCAAGTTCATGTTGGTAGTTTTGGTGACACTGTCCAACCATCTCATCCTCTGTCATCCCCTTCTCTTTCTTTCCCACTTTTCTAACATCAGGGTCTTTTCCAGGGATTCTTTCAAAAAAAAAAAAGACTCCCTGGGAAAGGTCCTGATGTTAGGAAAGTGTGAAGGAAAGAGGAGAAGGGGATGACAGAGGATGAGATGGTTGGACAGTGTCACTGAAGCTACCAACATGAACTTGACCCAACTCTGGGAGGCAGTGAAAGACAAGAGGGCCTGCCACAGGGTAGGATCTCATTTTGCTTAAAGGAGACAATAATAAGACCATTATTTAAAAACTCCTTGGAACCCACAATACTGAATAATTACTGACTGGTATCTAATAACAGGTTCTTGGGGAAGGTACTAGAGTGGGTTGTGGCCTCCCAGCTCCAGAGGTTTCTGGATGAGACAGAGTATCTAGACCCATTTCAATCTTGCTCCAGGCCTAGTTATGGGTCAGATGGTTTTGGTTGCCTTGGTAGATGACCTACGTCAGGAACTGGATATGTGTCCCTGTTGGTTTTGCTGGACCTCTCAGCAGCTTTTGATAATATCACCCACAATATTCTGTCCTGCCTCTCTGGAATGGGACTTGAGGGCACTGTTTTACAGTGGCTACAGCCCTTCCTGGAGGAGAGAAGTCAGAAGGTAGTGCTTGGGAACTTCTGTTTGAAACCTTGGCCGCTGACCTGAGGAGTCCCTCAGGGCTATGTTTTGTCTCCTATGTCATTTAACATCTACATGAAACCACTGGGAGAGACTATCTGGAGTTTTGGGGTTCGCTGACACCAGTGTGTGGATGACACCCAAGTCTGTCTGTCCTTGCCACCTAAATCCAAGGAAGCTACTTCAGCTCTAGATCAGTGTCTAGTATCAGTAATGGACTGGATGAGGGCGAATAAACTGAAACTTAATTCAGACAAGATAGAGGTGCTCCTGGTTAGTCAAAAGGCAGATCAAGGAATAGAGATGGTGCCTGTACTGTGTGGGATTACACTCTCATTTTTAAAAAATGTACACAATTTGCGTGCTCCTGCATTCAGTCCTGAACCTGGATACCCAGATCTCAGCGGTGGCCAGAAGTGCATTTGCACAATTAAAACTAGTGTGTCAGCTACATTGGTTTCTTGAGAGATCTGATCTGGCCACTGTGATGTATGTCCTACTTACTTCCCCGCTGATTTACTGTAATATGCTTTATGTGGGGCTGCCTTTGGAAAGTGTAAGGAAACGCCAGTGGGTCCAAAATGCACTAGTCAGATGGCTGGAGCCAGTTACAGGGATCACATAACCCCCCAGTAACAGCAGCTCCACTGGCTGCCGATCAGTTACCAGGCACAATTCAAAGTCCTGGTTTTAACCTATAAAGCCCTAAATGGCATGGGTCCAAGCTATCTCAAAGACCATATCTCCCGTCATGAGCCACCTCATGTGTTAAGATCATTAGCAGAGGGCTTTTTCTCAGTCCCCACTACCACCTCAGGTGTGTCTGATGGAGACACAGAAGAAAGCCTTCTCTGTTGCTGCTCACAGACTTTGGAACTCTCTTCTACAGGAGGCTGACCGGCACATCTTTGCTATCCTTCCGTAAGCAGGCAAATACCTTTTTCTTCAGGCAACCCTTCTTTCAGTAACCAGCTACTTGTGTGTGATTTTTAGATAGTTATGCATTACTCCTTTGTCTAGACAGTTATATGAAGTTGCTTATGCAGCAAATCTTACATACTGTAAATCCAGTCCATTTATTTCATTTGGATTTACATTCAGTCGTGGGTAATACCAGTCTCTCTGGTATCAGTTACAGTAAACGTGAGCAGACTATGTTGCATATGAATATGAATGAATAAAGCATGTTCAGAATTAGTGTATTTTATGTTGTAAGATATGATACAGTGTAACAATACATGTTTTTCGTGTGTGATATTAAAAATATATTCACAGGGACAGAAAACGAACTCAAGATTTCATGGAAGCAGATTTTTCAGAAAGGTATGTGATGCTGAAGAATTGTACATAAATAATATCTCTAAATAAAATACACTTCATTTCAATCTAGTAGCTGTTTTAATTGACTCTTCCCCATCTCCAATACCTTAGATTTCTTTATCAAAACAATTTTCTCTATTATGTAGATACCTGCATTCCAATCAAGTTAATATTCTGGCCTTGTGCTTACATGAAATCTATAAAATATGACTTTGTGTTTGTATGAAATCTACAAAACATTCAAAAACAGAATTTATTGGTGTCAGAAAATTTATTTGTAGTATTGTCTGTATGGAAATTTAAATCAATAAACTGAAACGTATATTTAAATATCTCTCTCTCTCTCTTTTTTGTTGTTTAGTTGTTAAACTCACATCTCATTATCTACCACAGCTCTCATGCTGGAAGTTATGTTGGCTGTTTTGTACCTTCACCAAGTAACTTGTTTAGATTTTTCCTGTCTAGCTATAAGTCAGATTACAGCATGCAAAGCAAAGAGTCATATAGCTACTGGGCAGGGCAGATGCCTTTGTATTTCCACATCCCATGACTATCCTGTTTGGCATTTAGTTGTAAAAGAAGGTGTTCCAGGCTTTTTCAGTTAGGATGATGCCCTTTACTTAAGTTTAACTTTTACAAGTTAGACAGTTTGTTCTCAGTCAAATTTAATGCCTATCTATTTTATGAATCTGAATTAGATGATACCAGTATTTTTTACAAGAAAGTACTGTATCTGAAAAGTGTATAGCTATGAATAGGAGCGATTGTGGACCATTTCTAAGTTTCTCACGCTGTTGCTTTCTTTTTCAAAGAGAAAAAGCCCTGTAAACCATTGTAAGGCATATATTCCTTGGTTTTTTTTAAAAAAAAATCTTAAGACTCCAATAGGTATTTGCTTCTAATATTTGCATCATTCCTGAAGTGTAGCTTGATCTCAATAACAAGTCTTACATAACAAACTTCTTCTTTAATTAAATGTCTTTGAACTTTGGAATTTTCCATGTATAGTCCAAGCCAGTGTTCACTGGAAGCAGGTAGAAATTGAAACATAACACTATTATTGCAATCTATTACTTTTTCAGTGAAACATATCAGTCTTGAAGAACTCTGACTAAATTTTCATCTTCCTAGGTAGCCTGATATGCTTCTGCTTCTTTTGGTATTTAAAGAAAATTCTGCTCATATTTGAACTTCATGAGTATCATTTTTACATGTTTTAAATTTAAATATTTTGTTAAATTTTGCATGTTTTGTGTCAGAGACTGTATAGATGAGAGTTTTCAAATTGAATTTCATCTTAGGCTGCATTGGCATTATGGTTATCCTTAAAAAAAAGTCAGCTAGTTTGTTCTTTCCCCTTGTTACACTATTGTGAGACCACAAATATTATTAGAGAGGATATTTTTGTACAAGCAGTTTTGGCAATGGACTGTGAGTTTTATGGGGAAAGGCTGTTCTACATCAGTAAGAAAGATGGGTGATTCAGAACCACTGTTCTGATTGCTTTTTGTGGTGGAGAATGTCTAGGAGTGTAATGTGGCATACTACACTATCTTTTGTAAAGATAGGTGTGTTTCCAATCAAATGCATAGGTATGGAGTGTAATGATATAGTACAATGGGATGAAAACTGCACGTCAACTAATGCAACTTTTTTTCTGAAATAAGATGCATAAATTTTCTGTATGAGGGGTAGGTCACATTAATTAATCCTAGTGATGGCTAGAGTCCAGTATTGCAACTAGAGTAGACCCATTGAATCACTGGACTTTAAAGAGGAGTTGACTCACCATATCCACACTCATATGGGTCTACACTAGCTGTGGCTTGCAACTGGATTTCAGCCATTGCATAATAACAGATTTGTAGGTAGGTATAAATTCTAATAAATTTAGAGTTAGCTTATGGAAAAGTATAAAACAAGTGAAACTGATACTTAAAATATTATACATTGTGGGCAACAGTCCTTTGGATGACCTGGTTGTATTTGTGGTAAGTATATTTGATGGATGGTGACCATATTAGCTGGAGTACAGTTCACAGTCTATAAAGATGGCCCCAGCTTTAGTCCCCTCCAGCTTGACAGATCTTACAAAAAGCTATGCTTGAGACTAACTATGTGAAACCTCAATAATCAGAGGCAGTATCCCACTGATTACCAGTTACTGTGGAGCAGTTTCAGGAGGAGGCTGTTGCCTTCATGCCTTGTTTGTGGGTTATGAAAAACCTAGTCTGCTACTGTGTGAAGCGGGATTGAAATGAATGTACCCTTAGCCCACTCCAGCAGAATTCACCTGAACTATCTTTAGAGAGCTATCGCCAGCCAGAGCAGAAAATGTTAAGACAGATAATTCAACTTGATTTGTTTATTGCAAATCTTCCATTCTACAGTTTAAGAAAGGATATGACATATTCATCAAAGAAAAACATTAGGAGCATGAGATGCATTAAGATAAATTATTTTTGTATCAAATGTTTTCATGTATTTTTCTTTGAAAATATTTTGAGCCTCTTAATCTGAATTAATATGATCTGTGCTTCCAACATTCTGGTAACTTCAAATAAACTTTTAAATGCTTTTTGTTGTTGTTGTTGTAAAACATATACTCATAGAATAAACACTAAAAAGAATATATAGTGGCCAAAATCCTGTTGCTTAGTGTAGTAAGTTACACTGAAGTTGACCCATTGACTCACTGAGGATTTGGCGAGTCGATTCTTCTAAGTTCCATTGATTTAATTGGGTCTACTCTAACTGTAATTTATTTGAGGACAGTAAATCAAAATGACTCATCAAATCACCACTGATTCAGTGAACCTATTCTAGTGCAATTCACTACACTAAGCAACTGAATTATGGGCAATATTTTGTGAAGTTTGAAGTAAAAATGTGTCTGACATTTTTCATTTTCCTTCAGATATATATGGTTTCAAATACTGTTGATACAAATACTCCACATTTAGTATGGAAAGTCTATAGTTGGTTTGAGTTAGCAAGATATTTTTTACCTTTCCCACAGTAAAAGAAGTAAAAAAGGAGATAAAAATGGAAAAGGTCTGAGACATTTTTCAATGAAAGTGTGTGAAAAGGTGCAATTTAAAGGAACAACATCTTATAATGAAGTTGCCGATGAGCTGGTATCAGAGTTTACATCAACTGCTAACAGACACTTAGATACAGTAAGTAATACTGTACTTAACACATAATTGCCTGCCCTTCATATCTGTAGTTTTCCTGTTCTGATTTCTTGTAGTTAATTTTTCCCTTATCAAATGAAATATTTTGGGTTATATCCAATTTTTAGTATCGTCACCCCTCCCTAGCTTCTCCAGGTGTTTAGAGGACTCTGAATAAATGCTGAGGATCAGTGATGGAGTTATTTTGTATTAGTATTGTTGTTTAAAGAAAATGTAGGCTGCATCAGTGCTATGTTAGAAAAATATGAAGGGTAGTCCAGGGCCTTGCTGACCTCTCTTATAGTCTACTCCTAATCAAAATAGTCTCAGTCTCTGTTGTAAGAAACAAGAATGAAAACAATAAATCAAATACAGGGTCAAGTGCAGATACTGTTGACTGTTTTGCAGTCTTTCCAAGATTTGAGAACTTTTGTTTTAGTTTATTACTTAGAACAATGAATCACTTGCTTATTTTTAAGTAATAAAAAAATCTAGATATGCCTAACATATATAAAACCTCCTCCTTTGGTTAGACTAGGCTTGGGTGATTATGACAGGAAAGGAAGACCACTGATAAGCTGACATTTTGTGTGTATTGGCTTTCCACAGCCATGGTCATAATTCAGGGCTGTAGATTAGTTAAAGTTTTCAGAACAATACCTTGCCAGTAGTTGAGAACTCAAGCTATATGGTGAAACTCTAATACATTTTTCCATTAAAAGTTTTATTTTTGACATCTCTAGTCAATTGTTGATATATTTTATTATGTTATATTTTAAGCAGTCTTATGATCAGAAAAATATTAGGCGGAGAGTCTATGATGCCCTTAATGTGTTAATGGCAATAAACATTATTTCGAAGGAGAAAAAAGAAATCAAATGGATAGGTCTTCCTACAAACTCAGCTCAAGAATGTCAAAACCTTGAGGTGAGTAAGGTGCATGTAAGTATATATTAGTGGACATTGGCTGAAATCCTGTTTATATTGTAAGCCAGAGTATGACTTTCTGTCTGTTCCTTCCTGGCAAACAAAGCACTGCTGCCACAATTCTCAAGGGTAAATGTGCCTCCAAGAATTATAGCACCAATACTTTGTTTACCAGGAAGGGAGGGTGGAAAGTTATTTGTTGGCTTACTCTGTGAGTAGGATTTCAGCCATTGTATTGCAGTCTCTGTTTATAGAAAAGGGTATTTATGTGAATTCTGTTTTTTTTAAAATAATTATTGCCAAAATCCTTTTGAATAAATTACACTGGTATAATGTAAACAGTGTACCTTTTGGAGACAAATTACCTCAAATTAAGAATTATCTACAGTGGTTACTTGGGTGGTTCACCTCCAAATGTTACATCATTTACAGTACCCCAGCAAAATTATGCAAGAGAGTTTTGCCAGTATGATGTTCTATAATAACTCTAGTAGAATAATAATTTCGAAATTGTGCTGTTATGCTGTATGTTCATTAGGAGTCATACGCCAATCAAAACCATTATGCAGACTGCCAGCTGGTTAATCCATACATTTTAAAATTCCATTTATTTTTAAAGTTGCTTATGTTTTTAAGTTGCATTCAACTAATTTTGTATAACACAAAAGCACCTGGTGGCATATGAAATTTCCTATATGGATTGTCCTTTGTGCTGTGATTTAGGTTCATTAAAACAATTGGTTCCCTAACAAAATGTCAGCTTGGTTCAGGAAAAGACACACCAGTGAATATTCTTTTGTATCTAATTTCATATTTATTCTCAAGGTAGAAAAGCAACAACGTATAGAACGAATAAAGCAGAAGAGGTCTCAGCTGCAAGAACTTCTGTTACAGGTATGCTTTACTCAGAGGCACCCCTTTGATTCTAATCCATTTTGTTAATTGTATTAAGTAAATCAGGGGGTTGGTCGGTTCTACACATAAGCATTACTAAATTAGTAGAGGTCACAATGATATGTTGCTGCCTTCCACCTAATTGTACTGCCTTTGTTATTTCCTTTCGAAATGCCACCTAACTCAAAATTGCTTATAAAAGCCCATATTGCGTTGCCACAGTTAGCCATAGCTCTCTTAAGTAACATTTTCTAAACTTGAATTTGTTCAGTAGATACTCCATAGTATAACACCTACTGTTGCTAGAATATTAAAACCAGCTTTCCAGTTCCTATTTTTTTTATATTATTACCAGATTCTGAAGCAATAATCTAGTAGCAATATTGCTCTGTGTTTAAATATATTCACTTCATTCTGCAGCAAATTGCTTTTAAAAACTTGGTACAAAGAAATCAACACAAAGAGATTTGGGGCCCTCCATCTGTGAATTCTACAATACAACTACCTTTTCTCGTAATAAACACAAGCAAAAGAACTGTTATAGATTGCAGCATCTCTTCAGACAAGTGAGTGTGATGTGAAAACATGCTGGAGGGTTGTCTATTTTGCAGTAATGAAAAAGGCCTTTCTTATAATGGTATATTACCATATAAATTATAAAGATATGATTAAATTCCAGTGCACCTAGATTTTCTTAACAAAGAAAGGAATATGTGTACCCAAATAATGAGTCAACTAATTGGTCCATCTAGTATTGTATTGTCAGTTTTGTCAAGCATAGGTGGATTTCTAGAATTTCAAGCATACTTCTTTCCTAGTCCAGTAATAATTTATAGATAATTATAGCTGTAAACAATGTACAGTGGCGCCTCGACTTACGAATTTAATCTGTTCCAGAAGATGGTCATAACTCAAAATGGTCGTAAGTCGAAGCACCATTTCCCATAGGAATGCATTGAAATGCAATTAATCCGTTCCAGCCGAAGAAAAAAAATCACACACACATACCAAAAAAAATCACTAAGATCCATCGGAAATTAATCCCTTCTGGTCGATTAATCCCTTCCAGCTGAAGGGGAGGGAGAAAAGGAATCAGTCATGCAAGACCCATCGGAAATGGGGGGACCCCAAAAGCAACCAACCCCCCCAAGACCCATCAGAAATGGGGAAAAAATACCAACCAACAACAAGCCCCCCCAAGACCCATTGGAAATGGGGGGAAAAACTCAAAAAAGCAACCAAACCCTTCAAGACCCATTGGAAATGGGGGAAAAATACCAACAAACAAACAAACCCCCCAAGATCCATCATAGCACAGAAACATAACCCCCTCAGCCCTAAACCATGCTGCAAAATCCAGCCAGAACAGTTTTTAAAAAGCAGAAAGCAGCACCTTACCTTACCAGGCAGTCTGAAGCCTCCTCCGATCGCACTCACTCTAACCACTGGGGCGAAAGAGCTACAAAGAAGCAACCTCTTCGTCACCAACAGTTAGCAATTTGAATTTCCCACCTTTTTCCCCTGCCTTTTTCTGTTTGTAACTGGAAGCTCCGGTCGCAAGTCAAAGCAAATTTTGTGGCCAGAGCTGGTCGTTACTCAAAATGGTTGTAAGTAGGGATGTTCGTAAGTCAAGGCACCACTGTACATTACTCACTTATGGAGCTGTTCCCAATAATGAAATTGTTGTGCAATGTTTACTGCTTTGGAGACTCAATCCCATTTTATTCTTTTAGTGGTTTCAGTTACGTTAAAGATAAGACTAAAATGTGTGTATTTCCCCATAAATGCCTTAGGTAACTCCAACTGAGAATTTTGTTGGCTAACATTCTGAATTTAAAATGAGTCTACACATGATTACAGAGTTGGAATGCCATGGTAGATGCTAATCTGTTTTCTGGTTTAAAGATTGGATGATGCAGATGCTTATGATTTACTGAGCCATGTTCAAACCTGTCATTTTAAAATGTGGAACTGATAACCATAGGTTTAGATTTGTATTTGCATTTATCTGGTTTACAATATAAATATCTCTAGCTTGCAGTGCTTAGCTACTTTTAGGAAATAAGCATAATTTCCCTGAAAATTGTTTTGATTCAGAAGATGGACCTAATTTCTGAGCATGCACAGGTCTGCTAGGAGCCCACATGTGTAGCTTTCCAGAGTGTATAGTATGCATATGCTAGGACATCTGTTTCTTCTGACCAGAGAAAGTAGATCAAGAAGGCAAGCTCTTTGGTTTTTGTCACTTGGCTTTGTCACTAGGAAGAAGAACATATTTGCAGAACACTACTGAACTGTCAGATATGTGCATCTCTATCCAGTGGTCATATATCATCTGCAGCAATGTAAACATCTTGTTAAAGTAATTACTGGCATAAGAATGTCATAGGAATCATTGCAAGTGAACAAAAAGTTCATGTTTGTCTAAAGAATACAGGTACTAACAGCCATTTGAAAGTTGGTCAGTGATACATTTTGAAAAGATATCAAAAGATTTGCAATTGGATGTGGGTTTCATTTACAAAGGGGATCTTTCTTACTGCATACTAGAAAACCAGAAGCACACAGAAATAGTTATTTGTGCTCTCGCACGTGAGACCCACACCGAGTTGCATTTGAATTTGTTTTCTTTTCATTGAGCACTCCATAACTGAGAATAAAGTTTATCTGATTCAGGATACACCAATAGAAAACATGGCTTGGTAATCTGAGATCAATAAATGTCATTTCAAAAGTGACTTTACATTTGAAGAGAATTATATGACACAATCTTGAAAATAAGAGGAATGCAGGTAAACAAAAAGGAGGAACTCTTTTCTTCAATTGCAGTGTAATGCTGGAAACAGTTGTGTGGGAGTAAGAATTTCTTTGAAGAATACAATTATTTGAAGAATAAAAGTTATGAAAAGTTTGAGACACAACATTTCTTCTTCATCAGTTACATCTCAAAGTCTGCCTAAATATATCTACACATGGATGAACTCTGCTCCAATTGTGACATTTAAAATGAAATAGCTCAAGGATCTTCGAAATAAAGATTTTACTGAAGAAACAGATTTTATAGACAATAAAATAGCATGAAAAAATAGCAAAATAGCTAATGGCCTTGTTATTTATTTGAGTTATATCATGCCATTCTCCCATGAACAACACTCAAAAATATTTGATGTACAAGGTAGCCTATTGTGTCATGATATGCCATATTTTAACAAAATAACATATAGTGTGCCAAGTAGCACGGAGGTGAGAAATAGTTTTCTTAAGCAGCTGTGAGAGAGTGCATACTTTTTATATCTGATGAATTTGGTACCTGTTATGCATCTATCATCTATATTCTGTATGTCTTCTTGCATCTGCATGATGTAAGTGGCTTATAGTTCTTAATTTTTTTGAGTCTTGAAAAATGTCAGGCATACTGTATGTGAAATCAGAGAAATTATGAACAACTTGTAGAATATCGAACTTGTTTTTACATGCATGTTTGGAATTACAAGATAGCATGTCACAATAATGTTTCTGTTGGCACTCTTGACTGTTTTTTTCCATTGTTTCTGCCCCTTCCTCCTAAACTTGGGTACATCATTCGTATTCTGTTGGAAGCTGATCCACAAGAATTTAAAGCTATCTGCATTAGAGAGATTTTTCTACATATTATTCTCTGAAAATAGCTGCATAATGTCAGACAATAAAATCTTTATCTGACTAGAATAACTGAAGTAAGCATGGGATTTTTGGATTTTTTTTTTCAATGCAATCACCACAATTTACCAGGACTTCTCTCAACCAGAATTTTGGCAGCTGTAGCCAAAAAATCCAAGTCTTCAGAGGAGTTTCAGTATGCACACCTGAGGCCTAGCATGTTCTTCTCTACAGCCATTGCAAAGGGAAGGAAATGGTCAGACTTTCTCATCTGTTCATTCAAATCGATCTATTCCTAACTGCCATTTTAGTAAGTTGCAACTAAAATAAGCCCATTTAAATAAGTGGAACTTACAGAAAGGTTAACTCACAAAATCCCCATGAATTCAACGAGCCCACTCCAATATGACTCACTACACTAAGCAACAGGATTTCAGCCACTATGTTTTACAGTGCATTTGTAATGTCTTAAAGTTAGCAGTTGTTGTGGTTTTTAGTGTGCTTTAATATGATTTTATTTCCATGTAACAATGAAAATATATTGGACATTGACCAGGGAGTTGGACTTGATAGCCTTTTAGGCTCCTTCCAATTTCTTTATTTTAGGATTCTACGTTACCATTAAAAAAGTAAAGGAAAATACACATCCATTAACACATCCTTCTTATTTACTGTAATTGTATAATGATTTATACTGTAGTGATTTACTGATGACTCCTATGTATGTTTTTTTAAAAAATTTCAATTATAGAGATTGTTAAAAATTAATAATAATAAAAACATTAAGTTTAATAATAATAGTTTTCCTGCGATAATAAGCTATCTTAAAAGTTATTTTCACTCATTATATAAACTAGATCTAAAGCAGAGATGGTGTCAATTTAAATTTAAGGGGAAAGAGTGTGGGGGAGGTGACTTTGTTTTTATGGTGAGTTTGTATATGACCTTTGAAATCCACCAGTTCTACAAGAAAAACTTCTGGCTTAAACAAGAGTTTTCATCAACTTTGAATCTGTTTAATGAGGGAGAAAAATTATGGACTCCTATTGTCTTGCATGGAAAAAGTAGTTTTAATTGGGAAATATAACAATTTGAACCTGCTGACATGGCACTTACACAAATACAACCAGAGGTCTTGCTGAAACCAGCTAGGTTTTAAATCCATTTTTGTCTCATGAAATAATCCTGTAAGTATAACTTTATTTGGACACTTGTCAACATATAATTTAGAAAAATGTAGCTAAGGTTTTTTTTAAAGAAATGGTCTTGCTTTTGTTTTTTCACTTCCTACAGATTTGAATATCTTTTTAATTTTGATAATGCTTTTGAGATCCACGATGACACTGACCTATTGAAGCGAATGGGAATGTCACTTGGTTTAGAGACAGGCAAATGCTCTTCAGAAGACCTAAGAACTGCTAAATCACTAGTGCCTAAAGCTTTAGAAAACTATGTCACAGGTAATATAATTGTGGGGTTTGCATACTGTCGAGTAAATGCAAAGCCTCATCTTAGCAAAGTTTCTAATGATGTCAGACTGCAAGAGGATGTTGAGTGATTTGTGAGAGATGGCAAGATTGCAATACTAACTACTGTAGTAGCTTTAAAGGTCTGGGGCTAGAAATTCCAGAGGATTGTAAATGAATCAAGTTGCTTCAATGGGCTCTGTTTAAGTAGTCCATTGATAGTTCGAAACAATGATACTTGCATAGCCCTCTGATTGAGATCTTAATGTTATGTTGCATCAAAATGGCAACAGTTTCTTACAAGACAGAAGTGCTCAAAGACGTCCCATTTCACCCCACTATCCAATATGTATTCACATGGAAGAAGGCAGCTCAGAAATACTCATAGTCTAGAACTACAACCTTTTTACTTAGAGCATAAACTAGTATAGAACAGTTGTGAGACATCTTGAGTGAACTTTACCTTTCTTAAATAGCCAATTTATAACATTTATTGTTACTTGCTTGACATGTTCATGGCTCCTTTAGAATAGATGTAACTGTTTAGACCTTGGGTCTACTGAAATTAAGAATGTCAGGAGATCTGTTTGAATTTGATAGAAACCATTCTACAATTTGAAAGACAATTCTTTGTGGTCTCTGTGACTCACAAATGGGTTTCTGTGCCTGCACAGAGATTGAGTAGCACATTCCAGATTAGTTCTGCCTCAGCCCTCCACTGCATATGCCCCTGTGCACCATTTGGCTCTCCTTAGTTTTTGTCCACCACCAGAGTACTCCACATCAACAGAGATTACTAACCACAATTTCTTCTTTGTGGCCTCTATGAATGCACACAAATGGGTTTTACTGTGCCTGTGCAGGACCTCAGAATATTCTACTGCTTTAAAAGATGTGATTAGTAGGACATTGCCCCGTAATGTGCGTGCTCTGCCCACCAGTAATACCTCAGTTCCTTTTAGCTACCACTGAAATCAGACTTCTGTAGCGATTACTAGAGCAGTTTTCTGATTTTCTCAGTCTTACGGTTATCTTATGGACTGCCTTACGTTTTTGATTCCTGGATTACAGACTTGATCAGTTTTTGATTTACAGACATTTCCCTATGAGTTATTTTTCTTTTCCTTCCCCCCTTTCCCACCTTCCCACCCTTTTTTATGGCCTCTTCAGGCCCATTCAAGCGTTGTACGTCGTGTGCCAATAAAATTCCTTTTACTGATGGCCATGATCATTGCTTGTTCTGCCTGGGCCAAAGTCATCAGACCCACTCCTGTCCAGAGTATAAAAAATTAACAAAGCTGGCACTTAAACTGACTTCCGTCCCATTTATGGGAAAAATTCTTAACACCCTCAATCCATTCAACCAGGCCCACGACGGAGCCTACCTCCACTCCACTGCCTCGATCTGAGCCTTCTCACCCACGGCTTCAATTACTCCATCGCCGAAAGCCTCTATCAAGGCTTCCAAGCCAAAATGCACCTAGGCATCAAACTCGACCTTGGTGTCAACGTCGTCCTCGGCTACAGCCCAACCTGATAAGAAGCAAAAGGAGAAGGACAGTAAGCAAAAGAAAGCTAAGCGAATTCCTAAGCCTCACTGCCCTTGAGAGCCACCAGTCATTCAGATTTCCCTCCCATCTTGGAGAAGTCATCTAGAGATATACTGGACCAGGACTCCATTTCAGAAGCAGGAGAGTCAGTACCTCTTACTCAAGCTCCAGCCTCAGTATCGATACCAAGCTTGTCTCCAAGTCATGGCCGCTCTGAGGCTGATATCATATCCAGCCCGTCCTCGGCCCATTCTAGCCCTGTTTCGACTGGGTGGGCAACTGTCATCCATCTCTCAAACTCGGAGGCAAGAGAATCTTGCGGTCCCCTCCGTGTAAGAGGGCAGCGAAGCAGTACCATATTTCCCCGTCTTCTCAGTATCAGGACGTAATCTTTGTACCGCATCCGTCTCAATGCCACTTACTTTCTGAATATGGAGACCCTGCTTATGAGGTCAGCCGACGCAGTGAACGCTATTGATACCGCTTTGACGAGTTCAATCCACGGTTTGAACGGGATTACTATGAGCGCCCCAAGTATGTTCACTATGTTTATGCCCCATCTGAGTCCTCCCCATCACCATCGCCCCTTCCTATTCGGAGTCAGCATCGAGCCTATTACCAACCTGATCTTATGGTTCCAACCTCTGAGAAAACTAAACACCATTTATCTCAGTCAGATGTCCCTCAATGCAATCTAGCTTCTGCTCAGCACAAGCCTGTTCCATCCAAGTGGGCACACATTTCTTCGGTGCCATCGGCTTCAACATCACGCCCCACAACCACTTGGTCTGGATCCTGATCTGCCCATCATGTCCCAACACCGATCCCTCTTTCAACTGCTTGGGCCTGTCAACTCTCTCCTTCACCAGTTCTCTCCATCCCTGGAAATTCCTCTGTTTCAACACCTTCTGAACATGATCCTCCCTCTGAAGCTTCCAGGGAGTCTCCGTCGAATTCACCAACACCAAATTCGGATGTTGCAGATACTCATCCTCCGTCACCCTCTGAAGACTTTACCTCTTATTCCCAACTCATTCTTAGGCTGGCCAAGTCATTGGAGCTCAATATTGAGCAACCTCCTCCCCCTAAGCACGACCTTGTCTTCAATGATATAAATCAGGATAAATCCCCTCCATTGAGTCTGGCTTTCATACCAGCAATGCTGGACCTTATTAAAGAATCATGGGACAAGCCATCCACCTCCCTCCAAGTTTCCAGACAAATTGAGAATCACTATTGAACACATGGTGCCGACACAACCTTCCTTGTCAAACATCCTGCTCCAAATTCTATTATTGTCTAGTCTAACCAATGTCGTGCTGGTAACCGGTCAACAGTCACCCCCACTAACCGAGAGGGCAGAAAGTTGGACGTTCTTGGCCATTGTTTATATTTTTGGCCTCATTTGTGATGAGAGTTTCCAACTATCAAGTGACAATGGGCACTTATCACAGGCAGTTGTGGAACAAAATACTTCCTGTCCTTCAGTCTGCTCCTGAGGAGATCAGGACCGATGCACTTAGTACTCATCTAGAAGCCACTACTCTTGCTAAGCAGCAGCGTCTTGCATCTCGCCATACTGCTGATGCTGCCTCAAAGGCTTTAGCTTCTGCTATCTCACTCTAAAGACATGCTTGGCTGTGCTCGGCGGGAATCAATGATGATACTAGATCCTGCATTGAGAATTTTCCATTTGATGGAGTCGGTCTCTTTAACAAGAAAACTGATGAAGTGATGGACAATCTACACAAAATTCTGCCCGTTCCTACTCCACCCATCAGCCTATATACCAACACACTCAGTGGCGTAGAGCATTCACTTTTCAACAGTCATATCAGCAACCTTATCTTACAAACCTTTCACTCCAGCTCCAGAGAGGTCCAATCTTCCATTTTCCTCAGCTGCTCCTTCTTTCTGCTCTTAGGCACCAGCTCAGCAGCATAGACCTGCAAGAAAGAATAAACAATATCTTTGACTTGATCCCTCCAAATCTGTTCCCTGGCTGTCTCCATCATCTCTGTCTGGCTCCCTTTCTCCACAAGTGGTCCATTATCACCAAGGACTCTTGGTTACTCTCTATCATACAACACGGCTACCTGTTAGAATTCACCGACCGATCTCCACTTGGCTATCTCTGACATACGACTTATTTACCTGCCCTAGAGGATGAAATTGCTCTTCTCATCCAGAAATACACTATCCAATGAGTACCTTCCCAAGATGTTCTAAATGGTTTCTATTCTCAGTACTTTACTGTCCCCAAACGCAATGGAAGCTTTGCCCCATCCTGGACCTGCGACTACTCAACACCTACCTCCATCCGAAGCGCTTTCACATGGTAACCTTGGAATCCGTTATCCCACTGCTTTCTCCAGACAATTGGTTTGTGGTCGTAGACCTACAAGGTTCGTATTTCCATATCTCCATTCACGAACGTCGCCTCAAATACCTTTGTTTCCTCTTCATGGACAGGGCTTACCAATTTTGTGTCCTCCCCTTCGGGCTGTCCACTGCTCCAAGAACTTTCACAAATTGTATGGCTCCTGTGGCTGCCTATCTTCATCTGGGAACATCACGGTCTTTCCATATATAGACGATTGATTGATATTAGCAGGGTCATACTCCACAGCCCGAAGGGACTCTGCCTTTGTTCTTCAGACCCTGGCAGATCTCGGTTTGCAAGTCAATTTCAAGAAGTCCCATCTCGAACCATCACAGACCATAGATTACATCTATGTGCATCTCAATTCGATCAAGGCCAGAGTTTTTCTCCTTCATGAATGGATATCCAGGTTGACAAGAGCTATTTGCCATTTTTCACAGTTTCTGCTCGGCATGCAGAACATCTCCTAGGCTTGATGGCCTCGACCACTTCCGTGCTCCAACACGCGAGGTTCAAGATTTGATCTTTGCAGGGCTAGTTCCTGTCCCTGTTCGACCCCCTGTTAGATCATTCTTCAAAGTGTCTTCTTGTCACTCTGGAGTTACTCACTTGGTGGACCTTCGTCCTGCACCTCCTTGTAAGCCATCCTTTTCAACCTCTTCAACTGACTGTACAGGTCACGACAGATGCCAGCCCAATAGGATGGGGCACACACTGTGGTGAGGAAAAGCTACTGCATATCAACCACCTAGAAATGCTAGCAGTCATCAAGGCTTTCCAAGCTTTCCACCTCCTCATAGCTGGTCATGGAGTCCAAGTTACCACGGACAATATGTTCACTCTGTATTATATATACTAACTCACTGGCTCTTCTATACCTCGCAATCCAGCTATGGGAGTGGTGCTACGACCACCACATCTTCCCTGTGGCTATTCATATATCTACAGAGGATAACGAAGTCGCTGATCGTTTGAGCCATCTGACCACCCAAACCAATGAGTGGGTTCTCGACGACTCTGTCTTCCACCATCTCTGCAACGGATGGGGAACACCAGGTCTC